AAAAATAGAACTGCCATATGACCCAGCAATCCCACTACTGGGCATATACCCTGAGAAAACCATAGTTCCAAGAGAGACATGTACCACAATGTTCACTGCAGCACTATTTACAATAGCCAGGACATGGAAGCAGCCTAAGTGTCTATCAACAGGTGAATGGATAAAGAAGATGTGGCACATATATACAATGGGATATTACTCTGCCATAAAAAGAAATGAAATTGAGTTATTTGTAGTGAGGTGGATGGACCTAGAGTCGGTCATACAGAGTGAAGTAAGTCAGAAAGAGAAAAAAAAATACTATATGCTAATATATACGGAATCTAAAAAAAAATGGTTCTGATGAACCTAGGGGCAGGACGGGAATAAAGATGCAGACGTAGAGAATGGGCTTGAGGAGACGGGGAGGGGGAAGGGTAAGCTGGGACCAAGTGAGAGAGTGGTGTGGACAGATATACACTACCAAATGTAAAACAGATAGCTAGTGGGAAGCAGCCACATAGCACAGGGAGATTAACTCAGTGCTTTGTGACCACCTAGAGGGGTGGGATAGGGAGGGTGAGAGGGAGACACAAGAGTGAGGAGATATGGGGATATATGTATATGTATAGCTGATTCACTATGTTATAAAGCAGAAACTAACCATTGCAAAGCATTTATACGCCAATAAAGTTGTTAAAAAAATGTCTATCTGGTCTAATGTGTCATTTAAGGCCTGTGTTCCTAATTTTTTTTTTTTTTTTGCAGTATGCGGGCCTCTCACTGCTGTGGCCTCTCCTGTTGCCAAGCACAGGCTCTGGATGCACAGGCTCAGCGGCCATGGCTCACGGGCCCAGCCGCTCTGCGGCATGTGGGATCCTCCTGGACCGGGGCATGAACCCGCATTCCCTGCATTGGCAGGCAGACTCTCAACCACTGCGCCACCAGGGAAGCCCCTGTATTTAATTTTTGTTAGTTTTATTGATATGTGTCTCAGAGCAATCCTCCTTGGGTTTATCCTGTATGGGAGTCTGCATTTCCTGGACTTTGATGACTACTTCCTTTCCCATGTTAGGGAAATTTTTGACTATAATCTCTTCAAATACTTTCTCAGGCCGTTTCTCTTTTTCTTCTTCTTCTGGGACCCCTATAATTTGAATGTTGGTGCATTTAATGTTGTCCCAGAGGTCTCTGAGACATTTTTCATTTTTCATGCTTTTAAAAAAAATTTTGGCTGCACTGCACAGCTTGTGGGATCTTAGTTCCCAAACCAGGCCCTCAGCAATGAAAGTGTGGCATCCTAACCACTCAACTGCCAGGGAATTCCTCTTTTGTCTTTACCCTGTTCCATGGCAGAGATTTCCACCATTCTGCCTCCAGGTCACTTATCCGTTCTTTTGCTTCAGTTATTCTGCTATTGATTCCTTCTAGTGTATTTTTCATTTCAGTTATTGCTCATCTCTGTTTGTTCTTTAGTTCTTCTAGGTCTTTGTTAAAATTTTCTTGTATCTTCTCGATCCGCCTCCATTTTTTTTCTGAGATCTTGGATCATCTTGACTATCATCACTCTGAATTCTTTTTCATGTAGATTGCTTATCTTCTCTTCACTTAGTTGTTTTTGTAGGTTTTTATCTTGCTCCTTCGTCTGCAACATATTTCTTTGTCATCTCATTTTGTCAAACTTACTGTGTTTGTGGTCTCCCTTCCACAGGCTGCAGAATTGTACTTCCTCTGGTGTCTGCCCCCTTGATGGGTGAGGTTGGTCCAGAGGCTTGTGCCATTTTCCCCTTGATAGGGGGTTTGATTGGTGTTATAGTGATCAGAGCCTGCCCTAGAAATTGAGCAGGGCCTCCCCTTTGCTCTGTGGTTGTCACTGACCTGTCAGGGGTGGGGTCTGCTCCCTAGCTGTTGGGGTAGAGGCCCAAAGATCTGTTTCTTAGCTGTGATTCTGATCTGCAGTGTGAGATATGTGGGATTGGAGCACTCCCACTGGGAGAGAAGCCACTGCGTATTCCTCCTCTGAAGCTGTTTAACTGTGAATATGCTCTGTTGTATCCCCTTCTGCCCATTGTGAGGGCTCACAAAGTATATTGTTGGCACTGCTCTCAGTCCCACCTTAACTGTGGGTATGCCGGCGATCAGCCCTGTTGACTCTCACGTGTTGTTTTCACCCGGCCACCGGCGCAGGTCCACTGAGGTCAGGTCCCAGGACTGCAGTAGTTGTACACCTGTACCCACTGTGGGGAGCTAAGGATGCAGCGCAAACTCTGGTCTGGCCCAACCCCCATGAGTACATGCCCACAGAGCCCACAGCTGCTAAAGCCAGACTTGTTGCAGCTGCAAGAGCACTTGTCCTTTTGGATGTTTCACAGGCGCTGAATTAGGGAAGGCATCAGTGGAGGTGTAACTCCGCAGTTTGTGCAGCTGCAAGGAGAAATTTCAGCTCTTCTTCCTTAGTCACACAGCCTCTGGGGATCAGCTGTGGTTTCAGCCCCTCCTCTGGGCAGATTTCCTAGTGGGGGTAGTTATCCACATCCTCCTGGGACAGCAGAGCAGGTCCTGACACCCACTGGTGAACTTCCTAGTAGTGAGAGCTATTCGTGCCCTCCTGGGACAGCGGGGTAGGTCCTGTGGCCCGCTGGCAGAATTCCTAGTTTCGGGAGCTGTCCACACCCTTCCAGGTCAGCAGGGGCGGGTTCTGTGACCTGCTGGCAGAATTCCTAGTTTTGGGAGCTGTCCACGCCCTCCTGGGTCAGTAGGGGTGGGGCCTGGTGTCTGCCTGTGGGTCTGGAAGAGGCAGCCAGGGCCCACCTCTGGAGCCCAAGATGGTGGTGGTTACTCGCACCTGCCCCCAGAACTCCTGTAGGCGGTGTCCTGTTGCCTGGGAGCACTCACAGGGATAGAAGTTCTTATGGTGTTCCCTCTCCTCTTCTCATGCGCCTCCCAATAATGGTTCCTTGCCTCTCTGGTGGGCCCAGGCTTCTTCCTAGTACACCCTCAGTTGCTGTGGCCCAACCTCTTCAGGCTCTTTCTGCACCTAACCCTGGCCCTCTCTCTGGGCCTGAGCTTCGGAGTCTGAGCTTTAGTACCTGACCCTCAACCTCACTAACAGAGGAGTATCTCAGGTTTGACAGTGCAGGATGGGGGTGCTGACCCTCTGTGCAGGTTAGTCTCCATTTTGCCTTTCACAAACCAGTTGCTGCTTCCCCTTTTAGGCTCCAAAACTCCCCCTCCGTCTTAATTTCTCCACTTGTGAGAAACCTTTCCACGGTGCAGGAAACTTTCCTCCTTCACAGCTCCCTCCCCAGGGTGCAGCCCTGTCCTGATTCCTTCTTTTTCTTTTTCCTTTTGTCCTACCCAGTTATGTGGAGGTTTTCTTGTCTTTTCGGATTATCTGAGGTCTTCTGTCGGCATTCAGTAGCTGTTCTGTGTGAATCATTCTGCTTGTAGATCTATTTTCAATGTTTCTGTGGAGGGAGGTGAACTCTACTTCCTATCCCTCGGCCATTGTGATTGAGCAGTGACTTTCTAATACCTTAATTCTTCCTACATATATTAGTTGCTTTCTAAGGAAGATACTTCTCTTATTAAATTTTTCATTTATTAATTTATATCAGTGTGAACTGATGGGTTCTTATTTAATTCTATAGGTTATAATCTGCTATCATCATAATTTTGGTGCTCAAATTGACCCAGATTTGGCCACTGGGAGCCCTTCAGCCTGGCTTCTGCTTTCTTTTGACATGTCCCCCTCACTTTTGATTATTTCTTACACCAAGATATTACAGACTTGGAAGAAATAGAAAATATATATTGGTCTTTGCCCCTAGACCCTGGCACAGAGCTCCTGAAAACCTTGTAATTTCTTTTTCTTAAATTGTGAATAATATTTTATTTAGTCATTTTTGTTTACAACTGAAACTATGGGAATTCAAAATTAATATACTTACCCATGAACTTCTTATAGACACCAGAAAATGTTTCAACTTTGTATTCCATATTGTTCTGCTGTGCTTTATCCAAATGAACCTTTATGAGCCAGCTGCCATCCAGTTTCTTGCGGATTCTCTTGCCCACAATCTCACTTGGGAAAACCAAGTCCTCCAGGATCACATCATGCACGGCTGTCAGAGTGCAGCTCCTGGGATGCTTGCTTATTTTTTGTATGGCTTTTTCGAGTTGGCTTAGGCAGAATTCTCCTCTGAGTGACAAAGACAACATGTCTCCTGCTGAACTTCTTCTCCAACTCACACAATAGCCAGACCTGGAGTTTCTGGAAAGATTTCAATTGAGGAATGAGAACAAAGGTTATAATAGCTTTCCGACCACCACTAACTTCAATGTCCTTGGCAATTTTGATGTTCAGCTCTCACAGCTGGCCTTGAGGTCCGAGTTCATCTCCAGCTCCATGAGGGCCTGGAAGATTCCAGACTTGAACTCCCAGCTTCTCACAATTGGGCTTCATGACCTTCGCACTGGAACTGAACATGGCCTTGACCTTGCCAATGAGGCTAACTAACATTTGTTCCTCACCCACCCCCACATTTGGAGGCCTAGGTCTCAGGAGGGCTCGTTAAATCCGAGAGGCAAAGGGGAAGAGGTGGGAATGGCGCCAGTAGAGAAACCGGAAGAACCACAGAGAAACGGTGGAAGCCTAGAGAGTCCCAGGAAGCACCCTTGTATTTTCTTAAGTAATAACAGCACTAGGAGCATCTTGTGTTCTAATATTTGGTCTTTGAACTGGATCATGACACAGAGCTTCTGAAATTCTTATAATTTCCTGCATGATAGGCGTGTCCTTTGTTCTAATGAGGTGATTCTGAGAGAGCTCCTGGATGGACTAACAATGAAGGCTGGTCATTGAAAAGATCAATATATAATCAGAGTGTGGAATTTTCAGCTTTACACCTTTTCTTGAGAAGGGAAAGGACTGAAATAGGGTTTTCCAAAAGTGTCAAAAATTAAGTGTTTTGTATGAGTAGTAAAGGAGACACACAGGAGAAAGACTCATAGGAGGCAAAACTGACCGTTTCCCACTCAGAAGGGGAAGAATTGTAGATTTTTCTAACGTAGTGGTATTCCCTAGAAGAGTTGCCACAGTATCACCTGGAAACTTGTCAGAAATACTCATTCTTGGGAACATGATACACTGAATCAGAAATGGTGAGTGGGGGCTTCCCTGGTGGCGCAGTGGTTGAGAATCCGCCTCCCAATGCGGGGGATACAGGTTCGAGCCCTGGTCCGGGAAGATCCCACATGCCACGGAGCAACTAAGCCTGTGCGCCACACTACTGAGCCTGCGCTCTAGAGCCCGCATGCCACAACTACTGAAGCCCGTGCGCCTAGAGCCCATGCTCCACAACAAGAGAAGCCACTGCAATGAGAAGCCCATGCACCGCAATGAAGAGCAGCCCCCGCTCGCCGCAACTAGAGAAAGCCCACGCGCAGCAACGAAGACACAATGCAGCCAAAAATAAATAAATAAATTAAAAAAAAAAAAAAAAGAAATGGTGAGTGGGGCCCAGCAATCTGCTTTAATGAGACCCTCCACATCACTGGTACTGTTGATAAAGTTCGAAAAACATTGCCCTATTTCCCTCTTACGTTCAACACCCATGATAGGATCTCTTTATGAGAAGACTGACCACTTTCTTCAGGGGGCAGAGCTAAGAGGTTATCTTGGAGTGAAGGCTACTACAGACATGCTTTGCATAAGTGGAGTAGAGAGCAAGGGAAGGACCTGACTAGTTCATCTATTCTCCTCATGCAGTTGTTTCATGAATGGCTGATGATTGCCCATGGTTTCCTCCTGCTGACTTGTTGAACTAGGCAAATGATAAAATGCCACATTGGCTCACAGGTGACCAATCCATGGTTAGATTCACACTCAGGCCATTCTAATTATAGATGATTAGCTGATTTATTCATTACTCTACAGCACTTCTCTTTTTTACCACACTACACAGCATTACAAGAATGTTCTGGTCTTCTGGGTGCATTAAGTGAGAGATAATCCCATGTTTATTGTAAGAATTTCCTAGGCATACCTTCTGCCAAGTTTCTAACTCAAAAAACAATTTTTGAAAACCCCTTCCTGAAAAGCAACTTACATAAAATTCAATCTCCTTCAAGTGTTTCTTAATTTGCTGAGATCTCCTACTCCTTTGCTACCTGTCTTATTAGCAACCCAACTTCAGTGAAAATGGAGGTTTATTGGCTCACAAAAGTAAGAATTCCCATAGTATAGTGGGTGGTAGCCTCAGGCATGGCTGGGTCCAGAGGCCCAAAGGAATCCTTAGGACTTAGTCCCTCTCTTTCCATCTTTTGGTTCTACTTTCCTCTGTGTTGGCTCCATTCTCAGCAAGCTATTTCCATGTGGTGTACCCCAGCAGCTCTGGTTTCATAATTCTTACAGCCATCAATCCTAGTAGTTCTACCACGGCACCAGAGCTAAGTCCCAGTGGCCTGGCTTGCATCATATGCATATCCCTGAACCAATCACTGTGGCCATATACATAAATTATTCCAACATTCTTCTAAGTAGTTGTACATCCTAGGCTGGTGCCTCCATCACCCAGGAGCAATCATGTGGGTGCCCTGCATGGGAATTCTCCACCCATCCTTGTGGAGCTTCTAGGGATGAGGGGTAATCAGGGCTCAGAAGAGCAGAGCTGTGTCTGAGGATGGACAGGTTAAAGAAAATGATCTCTGCCAGCAATTTACAGATCAGAAAATCCTGTGCGTCAGAGAAACCGCTACAAGGAGACATGACATTATAAGAGTTGACAGAGGAAGGCAGAGACTGAAGGAGAAAGATACTGGGGAACATAAAGAGATAATTATAATTAGAGTGAAAGACAAGATTATGAAGGATAGACAGAGAGGGAGACACAGAGACAGCAATGAAGACCAACAAAGCTAGAGAACAGTATGCCCAGATGAATGGAGACACAATAACAGCTCCTCCTTCCACCACCCAGCATGCACACACACACACACACACACTGCCAGAGAGAAATAAAAATTCAAAGAGTCTGAGAAAGACATGTCTTTTGGGTATGAGGGATTTGGGGTGGTTGATGAGAGAACCATTCATTCAGGGATGGTGGGACAGTTGTTTCTAGGGAGAAAGATTTGAGTCATGGTAAAGCCACAAATCCAGGGCGTGGATAGAACTGTGTATTCATTCATTACCTAAATATTTACTGAAACAACAAAAAGACAACCACAACCCAATTAAAAATTTTTTTCAAAACTTGAATAGATGTTTCTCCTAGAGAAGATACACAAATGACCAACAAGCACATTGAGATGCCCAACATCACTCATCATAAGAGAAATGCAAAAGAAAACACAATGAGACACCACTTCACACTCACTAGGATGGCTAGAATTTTCTTTAAAAGGAAAATAACAAGAGTTGGCAAGGATATAGAAATATTGGAACACTTGTATATTGCTGATGGGCTGTAAAATGGGGTAGCTACTAAGTATTTATAGGGGCATTATTCACAACAGCCAAAAGGTGCAGACAGTCCAAATACCTATCAAGAGTGGATAAACAAAATGTAGTGTATGCATACAATGGACATATACTCTACTATAAAAAGTAATGAAGTACTGACACATGGTTACAACGTGGATGAACCTTGAAAACATCATGTTAAGTGAAAGAAACCAGACACAAAATATTGCATTACTCCACACTAGGTAAATCCATGGAGACAGAATGCAGATTGGTGGCTGCCAGTGGCTGGAGGAGCAGGTACTGGGGAGTGATTGCTTTTTGGGTATGGGGTTTTCTTTTAGAACAATAAAGATATTTTAGAAATTGATATACATAATAGTGGTTGCTTAACACTCTGAATGTACTAAATGCCACTGAATTTTATGTGGTTAATATAAAAATGGTTATGTGGATTTCACTTATTTGTGCGATGTGATGGTCAGTCAGGTGAGGCCACATGAGAATAGGAGAGGCATAGGAAACAAGGTTTACTGTACTTACAGATCCTAGAGAAGAGGTCACCACCTCATGTCACACAGGGTCAGAGGACAAGCATCAGGTACTGGGCAAGCGGCAGAAGACAGGGGTGAGAAAAGAACTTTTGCCATGGTCTTCCTTGAAGCAGGAAAGGCAAGGTCGGGCAGGGTAATCAGTTCAGGATTGGCTTGAGTAATTCGAGTGGGCTCTACGTTATAGGGGTGGTCCCCAGATGCCTGGTACCTGGACCCTGGATCTGGAATCCGGACTTGTGATGATTAAGGCATTGGAATATTGCCCTCTGGGGTGCACAGGCCCGAGAGAGGAGGTAAGGCTCTGGATTGGTTGGTTTGCAAATCATAGGCATGCTCCAGGCTGAGTCCTCTGCCATCTCAAAGAATTGGCCAGCCCTGGGAGGGGTAGTCTACCCAAGCCAGAAAGGAATGTTCAAAAATGATGTCAAAATGTCATAATATACAGAAAGTTAAAATATGTAGCCAATAATATACTGAAAGAGAGAGGGAGAGAGAACCAACTGTTCTAGATCCTGGGAACACAGCACTGAACCCAGAGTCCCTGCTCTTTTGGAGCTCACCTCTCGTGGTGGGGGGAACAGAAAACAGAGAGGTAAGATAACCTTGGTAGGGATGAGGACTGAAATAGGAAAGCAGAGTCAGGAGCTAGAGTATACAGTAGTGGGAGGGAAAGCTATTTCAATAAGGTGGTCAAATCAAAGGAGGCCTCCCTGGAAGGAACATGGAGCAGAGACAAACCTGAATGGAGTGAGGGCTCCACCTGCAAGAAGACAATCCAAGGAAAGGTGGCAGCAAGAGCAAAGCACTGCGATGGGAGGTTGCTGGGGTTTTTTTGATATTAGCAGAGCCACCAGGGAGGTCATTGAGAGACTGAGATGGCCAAGGCCAGACTGTGTGGGCTTATGTAGTCCCCAGGTGGGTGGGGGCATTTTGGAATTGGTCTAAATTGAATGAGAATGCTCTTGGATTGGAAGAATTAACATTGTTAAAATGGCCATGCTACCCAAAACAATCTACA